CTGAAGCCTGTGAACTGTATTTGGTAGTGCAAAGATGGGAATTCTGTGATCCCACTCGCTTCAACTATTTAATAACCTGCCTACATTTTCCACACATGAAATAAATGAAGTGGAATACAAAATGTAACATCTGTTTCTTTCTCTGTTTAACATTAGAGGGCTAGATTCTAAACAAATACATTTAGGAAGTCTTTTTAGGAATTTGTTAGGCTGAACACAGCTAATCAAGGCACCAGAATCTTGTGTATTTCCAGAATGACCCCTTTGTTTGACCTGAAAATTGTGTATATTATTTTAAGTTCCTGCACATGCAAAACCTCGATGATGAAAGTCTCAGGCTTCTTCTCTTTGCTCTTCCTTTGCTTTATTAAACCTTCTTAAAAAGCAAAAGCATGTTGGGGAAATGCAGCACAGAAAAAGGTTGCAGAGGAATGCTTTTAACACAAAGAAGTGCTCCTCAGCCATCAGCAGTTACCTCTGTGAAACAGCCCCAAGAATTCAGTGGTATTATAAGTATGAATTCACCCATGTCACTTAATTTCTAGTTGATTAATAAGATGTCAGGTTAATTGGTATTAGTCTAGTTATTAATCTACTTTGTAGAATCATAGACTTGTGGAATGGTCAGGGTTGGGAAGGACTTTAAGATCATCTATATCAGATTAATCTACTTGATTAACAATGATAGCAGATCCATTGATCATGGGTTTTGCTGAATATTGCACTTAAAAAAGTATTAGCAGAAAGCTGCAGGACATCTTTTTTCTCCCTTCATTTTCCCAACTGGCAGAAGAACGAGGCTTTAAAGCCTAATGAATGTAACTGGGAAAAGATGTCATTATTTTGTAGTTATTGAATAGTTGAAGCCAATGAGGGAGGATGAACATTCTTCCTGACAGGCACAAGGATCACCCATCATTTCACCAGACCTCATGTCCCACAGCAAGTAGTTCTTTCAGCTTTTCACTGGATTTAAGGTTACCTTACTCCAAACTACAGAAGTACACTTCTAGTTCCCTCTCCAGTGCATAATACGTGTTGGAATTCAGTTGCATACTGATGGCTAAGATATTTCTCCTGGAGAGTTTGATGGAAAACAAATTAAATAGAAGAGCTGACAGTCTGGGGAGAAATGGTCAAATCCCAGACTGATTCTGCCTCCCAGCAGACTGCAGAGCAAGACCTGGCACAAACCCTATGGCCATTTGAACACATCACACTGGACAGAGTTCATTGACCCGTTCCTGCAGTCCCATCACCATAACAGGACGTGGTTCCACTTGCCTGCATAGACCACTTGGCAGGAATAAAGCACTTGAAACTCTTCCTTCTCTTTAATTACTTTTGCTGCCTTTCTCCAGAGAGATTCCAGAGAACAATTCCTCCCAAAATTGCTCCTCTGCAGTCCTGCAACATAAAAAGTCTTGCCTCTGCCTTCCTTGTGATGTTAGGAAAATCCCTCACAGAGGGAGACATGCTCATGGTGCCAGGGTAACAGGAGCATGCCAGACCCCCACCTGCTACCCTCTGCAGAGCGACTCTGTGAAACATTCCCAGAGGCAATGCCATGTTAGAAATACAGACCAGCCCTGAGGACAAGGACTTGGGGTATTGGGTGAGAAGAAGCTCCTCAGGACCCAGCTTCAGTGTGTGCTTGAACCCAGACCCCCCCCATGTGCTGGGTGCACCCCCAGAGCGTGAGCAGCAGCTCAGGGAGGGCATCCTGCCCCTCTGCTGTGCTCTGGGGAGACCTTAGGGCAGCTCCAGTGCCTAAAGGGGCTCCAGGAAACCTGGAGAGGGGCTTTGGACAAGGGATGTAGGGACAGGACAAGGGGAATGGCTTGAACCTGCCAGAGGGGAGATTGAGATGAGCTCCGAGGCAGAAGCTCTTCCCTGTGAGGGTGCTGAGGCGCTGGCACAGGGTGCCCAGAGAAGCTGTGGCTGCCCCATCCCTGGCAGTGTTCAAGGCCAGCTTGGACACAGGGGCTTGGAGCAACCTGCTCTAGTGGAAGGTGTCCCTGCCCGTGGCAGGGGTTGGAACTGGATGAGCTTTAAGCTCCTTTCCAACACAAACCACTCTGGGATTCTATGATTTTACTTTTACTGTCTCTCAAATCACAGTGTTTGTCCTCTAAAATAAACTCCCAGGATTCAGTAAAGTCTCCAGCTCATCTTTCCTTGAACTACATCTGCCGTGTCCCAGCCACCAACTCAGCACAGTTTTAATCATCTTTCCCTTTGATATTTTTCCTCTGTTGTCAGGAAAACTACACTTCTCCTCTCTGGATCTCAACAACTTCAACAACATCATTTGAAAGCAGTAGCAGTAAAGAAACCTCCTGCAGTAGCAGCCAGCTGCTTGCATGTGAGATCAGATGATATTCCAGGAGCTCAGCACTGTATGCAAGTCCTCACGTGATGGACTAGGAAGTCAGCACGTTTATTTTCCACCGTTAGTTCAGCTCAGCTAACACAGACCAGGGCTTCAAAAGATGCAACAAAAGACAAACAAGGACTGAATGAATGTTTTAGAGGCTGAACACAGGCAACAGGCCTGAATGGTTATTGTAGGAGGGCACAATTGTCCCCGTGCATTTAAAACCAGACAAACCAAGGGGTTAAAAGGGAATTGTTTTAGTTAGTTATTCAGAAAACCCCCAGAAAATGTAGCACAACCACCAGAGGAAGCTTCCTGAGGATGAAATCCATGCGATTCTGTTGTCCCTTTTCATGTCCAGCTGACAGGCCACAATACCAAACAGCACAGCCTACAGCACGACTATGCACTGGCAGAAGACATTAGCAGATGAAGTCCTCATGCTGTCCCCAAACTTAGCCAAGGGACTGATGATTCAACAGCACCACCTAGTTATAAAACCAGGAACAACTGTTCTTGAGAGTGCCAGCTCAACATCATGAACTTCAGGGCTACTGCATAAACAGAGCAATATCAACTATCAGACCTTCTCTTCTCTAGACAGCTACAGAAAGACAGAACTTACTCAAGCAGGCAAAGTTTCACATCATATATATTCATTAGAAATAGGCAATGGCGTTGCATGATCAGTACAAAGACACTACAAGCTGCACATCTGTAACAAATGGGTTGTGAGTCACAAAGCTGGATAAAGCTGCATCTATTCATAATGGACTATAAGCAGGAAACTAAAGGTGTTTTCCTATTTGAAGGAGGATTCATTTTCTTCATCAACCTCAGCCCTTGAAAGGAATTCTCTTCCAAACAAGCAGGCTTGGATCTCAGACAGTCCCAAACTTTAGAGAGGAAGATAAACCCCAAAGAGTCTGATCTGCCAAACCAACTTAGAATCATGGAATCAACCAGGCTGGAAAAGACCTTTAAGCTCATCCAGTCCAACCATTCCCAGCACTGCCAAGGCCACCACTAACCCATGGCACTGATTTGAGGTGCAGCCTCACAGTGCCCAGCACAGGGGGATGAGCACTGCCCTGGCCCTGCTGCCACACTGGTGCTGATACACCTTTCTCAACTTGCTGGGGAAGAAACGCAAAGGCTGGTCTGTATGGAAGCATAACCCATACCAGGAAAGCACACGGGAGCATCTCTATTTCAGAGGATTGTTGATTTTACCCTCCCCAAATTCCAATCCTAAAAGTTAACACTTGTGTCACTTTTGCTGCAGATTGTAGAGGTGATGAGAAAGTCATGTAAGTACTATATAAGACCAGGTTTTTAACACAGTCTGCTGTCTACCATGGTTTTAGTCCTCACGGACAGTTTTTTACTGCTCTACACTTTGCTCATCACCTATTAGAGTATCATTACTCACTGCCAAATTACTACAGTTCAGAAAGCCAAAAGAGGCAGTCAAGTGGTCAAGGCTATTTGAAAGGGCTTGATGCTCAGTGAAAAGCTGGTATCTTGAGGTCTGAGTTGCAGCATGCCAAACTATAGATCATGCCTGAAACAAACACAGGTAGAACAATCTAGAATACTGAATGAACCTTAGCAAAACAAGATGATGTGATTGGAACTGAACATTTAAGAGCTCATGGAAAGCACTCACCTTTCCAACACGTTATGTACCTGTCCATTTTTAGAGCAGAACTCTGCAGTCCATTCCTCAGTGCCTCCTCACCAGCACATCAAACTAGTTTAGTGATTTAGAAACTTTCCAAAGGGTCAGTGGATCAGAGAAGCCCATTAAATTGCTCAGCCTTTAGCTGCTTCTTGTAACATGAGCTTTACAAGGTTGGAAAAACCAAGAGGTCTCCACTTGGAACAGGAAGACACTTAAATCAGGTGGCTCTACCTTTTGCTTTTGGTTTGTGATCACTGCTAGACCCTTTCTAAGTGATCAAAACAACAAGAACAACCAACAAGAAAAAAAAACAGCAAAACCAAAAACTACCTTCCCTTTTCCAGCTACTGACTGTGGAACAACTCACATCAAATCACTTCATATCATAATCTATCGTAAAATTATCATATCACTACCATAATCCAACCACATTCAGACACCTGAATGCTGGGGTATACTAGGGCAACATTTGGTGAAATTAAAATGCTTTATATGGTTAATTGCACCAGAAATGCCTTTTATTAAAAACAACCCAATGACGGTGATTGCTGAGCACCAGGACACTGCTCTTCAAATGCCTAGAGGGCAAGTAGGATTGAAACACTAATATTGCAGCTGCACAAATGCACAGTGTGTCCTACTCTATTTAGACTGAAATCAGCAGATTTTGCGGAGGGAAACAAAAGAATGGGCTAAAAAAACCTCCCTGAGAACCTGTCCTGAAATCCTGGAATAAAAACCAAACCACAGAAATTAAAGGTGAGAAAGAGAGAGCACTACACAGAGGAGGTGACATCTGACAGGCTGATGGAGAACTAAAAGCATCGAGGAGGAAAGGTTACCCCTAAATGGGGGAAAATACTACATCTGAGGCAGAGAAAAAGGTCACAATCACAGTATTTAATATTCACAGTTCTAGAAAGGCCATTACCATCTTACCCTCTCTGTTGTCTTTGAGGATTTCTGTGATGCCTCATAATCTTTCTTTGTTTCTAGGAGTCTTTTTACAAGCCCACCTGTGGAAAAACCAGTACACTTCTTAGCATTGGTTGGCACTGAAGTGTTGTTTGAAACATTCAGACAATCAAATCAAACTCAACTGCTCAATGATTTTTGTTAATGTTTATTTCCAGCAACAGAACAGCATTCCATGATGTATTTTAATTCCTGAGCTCCAAGGTATTTCTTGTTTGGTCTATTTTCTCCAGTGTCCTCTAAATTGAACTGTAGCATCACTATCATTTACTGAATGACTCTTGGTACGGAACCTGCTCCTTGAGCTGTATGAACACAAAGGCTTTTCCTCTGCACCCCTCTTTTGGAAGAATTCAAGAACTGCACAATAAAAGTTCACAGATATTCCTTTGCAAGGAGATTTTGGATGCAAATAAGCATATTTGCCTCAATCACATCCAGTGTAACCATAATAGAAGCCCCTGAATCAGAGATCTGAAGTCCCAAGTAAGCATAAATGTGAAGAAGTTTTCTAAAAGCTCTTCTGTAACTTGCCTTGAGCAGCCAATGCCATCTCCTCCAGCTGACAAGCTATACCTGACACTGTAAGAAACATTCATTTCTGAGTTGGATGCAGAATTTTTAATCCTGCTGACATTAAAGCTGTATAGAAACTCTGCTGAACATCAGTTGTAAATCCAGCTGTACAAGGAAACAAGACTGGGTTTGATTTGAGTGAATTCCTGGGCGTTTTCTTGCAAGCTCCTACCCTCAGGAGATATTTTGCTGCTTTATTCAGCATTTTAAGTGTTCAGCATTTGTTTGAAACTCATGGGTTTATGATCTGTATCTATATATAAATATGTAAAAGCAAACATACCATGCTTCTGATCCTCAACCAGCTCCGCTTCTGGCTCCTACACATGCAGGAAGACAGCTTTAGTTGGACAAAGTTGGCATTGCTCTAATACACAACTCTACAAAAGTACTCAGCTAGAAGCTACTTAAACAAGGAAGTTACAAACAAAGTATGAAAAAAGGTTCTATGATTTGCAACATGAACAGACCATTTCCATATGTGGCACCTCGGGCAGTGGCAGTGCTGCCTCCACCACAAACTGGTCATCATCATCATCAGAAATCTGCTGGTCTGTGATCACATTTGAGACTGTTTTACCACTACCGCTCCTGAAAGAGACACAATGAAAACGAAAACCTATTAAAATCTGCCCAAAAAGCCTAGTAAGATCCATCCAGAAGAGAAGAGACAGCAGTACCCTCCTTTCTTCCCATAAAATAAAGCAGCAGCAATTAAAAGTACATCAGATTCTGACATTCCCATTCATTGCCCAAAGTAGCCATCCTCCTTTCACAGAAGGACGTATCTTTTCCTTCTAAACATGCTACTTCAGTGACTGGCACCTATCAGAGATCAAATAAGCCATTTTGTCCATAGTTTCAAGTGGCTGTTTCAGCCTTTTTTGAACATGGGATATCCACTGCATGTTTTACAGATCTCTTCCAGTGGCAGAGTAGATGAACATTATAAGGTTGTCTGTTTCTGAGTTCCTAAAGGCAAAAAAGTTGTGGTTTTGAACTTCCAGATAAGACAACCAACCATAGCTTGTAGATAATGCACTGGATTTGCAGAAACAATCAAACAAATAAAATGGACTTGAATTTTCTAGTCTGAAACAATGAGCAGAGAGATGATCTTGGTCTAGAGGAAGGTGTCCCTGCCTGTGGCAGTGGGGGTGGAACTACATGAGCTTTAAGGTTCCTTCCAACCCAACCCACTCCAGGATTCCATGATCCACCCTAAAGCTGTTCATCAGCAGGTGAGACATAGAAGATCTGAGACTAGTGTGGCACAAGAGCTAGAAACATCTGCTCTGCACCCACGTTCCTCAGTCCTTACCTTTCTGGAGGTACGAGCTCAGCGCTTTCTGGACGTTTCACTCTGGGTGGTGCTGGTCTTGCACTGCCAGGACGGGGAATTCGTCTGCAACATCAAAGAGGCTGTTTCATTTACAGTGTAAAAGGCAGCCTGGCACGTCCTCCAAAGGAACAGACACATGAGCTGAGTAAACTAGCCAATGCATAAACCCACTGAACTCATTCCCGGTATACAATCCAGTACCACAGTGCCTGCTGTCCTAGTGGGAGTCTAGGGAAATCTAGGAAACGTGTCTGAAACAAAACCCCCTATGATCTGTGTAAAACCAAGGCTTGGAAGGGACCTTAAAACTCCTCCAGTTCCAACCCCTGCCACGGGCAGGGACACCTTCCACTAGAGCAGGTTGCCCCAAGCCCCACACTGCCAGGGATGGGGCAGCCACAGCTTCTCTGGGCACCCTGTACCAGCACCTCAGCACCCTCACAGGGAAGAGCTGCTGCCTAAGGGCTCATCTCAATCTCCCCTCTGGCAGGTTCAAGCCATTGCCCTTGTCCTGTCCCCACAGGCCCTTGTCCAAAGCCCCTCTCCAGGTTTCATGTAGCCCCCAATACAATTACAACAGCCTTTGCTGAGCAAGGAAAAAGTAAATCAGGAGTTAAAAGGCAAGTTCATCTTATCCATATCACCACAATTAGGAATCACAGTTACGTAATGCACTGTTCTCCTCATTAGACTCTCCACACATCTTTCCTATTTCAATAAGCACATCGAGGCACTTTGTGGATTTAGAAAATAAGTCTGAAATACTTCACAATGTTAAAGTTTTCCTCATAGAAGGAAATGAAAGTGCGTGAAGGGAAACCATACATGGGATAATACTTCTTATTTGGTACCACTAGTAGAAACCTCCTGATCCAAGTTTCCTTGCTGTTTCCAACTGGACTGACTGTATTACCTCCAGGCACATCAGAACTTGATTCAAGGATACGAACATACCTTTGGATGGGCTGAGGTGGAAGGTCAAGAGGTACTTCACCATTTTCTGCAGGCTTCTCAGGAGCCACATCCTCTGCTTCTCCTTCTATTAAACACAACAAACATAAAACTTTGGCTTAGGCAGATCTAAATTGTCTCACGACAGTATTTTGATTCCTATCAGCACTAGACTTGACCGTGTGCTCATGAAATCCAGCATCAAAAATCCCTCTAAGCTTATATAAAGTTCTACACCTTGTGAACTTCCAGGTTTTCCACATCTGAGCATTCACAATTCAAAAGGGACACTGAAAAAAAACCATTTTAAAATATGTCTTGATTCTTTATTTCTTTCTTAATATTGTGAAATTCCCTCATCTATGAAAGTGGCGTCATCTCAATTCTTCCTGAGTTTCATGGTAACATCAACCCAGATTTGAGCAGGGGCTTGGACTGGCTGGCTCCAGCTGGCCGTCCCTTTCAACACCAAGGGTTCTATCCTGCTTCTCTTTTCAAAGAAACTTACCTTGTTTTCAAAGAAACAGCTACCATTTATCAAGGAGGCCACGAGGATGCTCAGGGGCTGGAGTACCCCCTGTATGGAGGCAGGCTGAGAACATTGGGGCTGTTGAGCCTGGAGAAGAGAAGCTGCGTGGAGACCTCAGAGCAGCTTCCATTGTCTGAAGGGGGCTACAAGGATGCTGGAGAGGGACCTTCATCAGGGACTGCAGTGACAGGACAAGGGGTGATGGGTTCAAACTGAACCAGGGGAAGTTCAGGTTGGATCTAAGGCAGAAGCTCTTCCCTGTGAGGGTGCTGAGGCGGCTGC